CCTCCTGTCAAGAGATTAGCTCCCGGGTGACAGCGCTGGCACCCCTGCTTTGCCTCCCCTTTGAATCTTATCTCCAGAGCTGCAGCGCGGATGTCTGTGGCTGAGGCTTGCTCTGGAATTTTCAGGGTTGCTGAAAAGCTTTCACCTTTTAAAAGGGGGGAAAAAAAGGAGTTGGGGGGGGGGGGGGGGGGGCATTTCAATCTTTAAATCCTCCCAAGCTCTGAACTTCAAACAGGGCTGTGGAAATCAAAAGGCTGGTGTCCCCGAGCCGCAGCCATGGGGAGAGAACAATGATTCCACGCGAGGCTGGCAGCTCAGCTCAGTCGCTGCATGCAGGGGGTGTGGGGGGTGCCGCCACCGTCCTTAAAGACACTGGCCCATCATCTCTCAGACCAGCTTCCAGCCAGGCCCTGGGAGGGGCTGCAGCTTGCAGCACTGCCTATAGACCTGCAGCCTGGCCACAGGTGAGGCCGCTTGTGCCTTGTGATCCACAGTGAGGAAGATGATTGGGCAGGGATCCGACTGAGTCCTCCAAACTTGCTTCACCTGTGGCCTTGGCCAGGCCTGTGGGAGCTGTCTGGCAGTGAAAGGCGGAAGGATGGAGCCTTTTGGTGCCCGTTGATGGCAAGGCTTACTTGTGGCATGCGGCACTTCGAAGTTCAGGTGACATCCGGGCTGTAGGAGACAGTGGATGCAGTTCTCTCCTGTTCGCAGGGTTGTCAGCGCGGGTGCAGAGTGTGGTACTGATGAGATCCTCTCTCTGCCCGATCCCTGGCTGAGCTACAGAACTGCCTGCCACTGCCTTCCCCTTTACGAGGCCCTGGTGTGAGGAGTGTGGGGGCTGTGAAATTCATTGGGTCCCGGGTCTGTGAGAACACAGCGCTGCTCTTTGGAGCAGAGCAGTCGCAGGCTGTCAGGAAGGAGACGCAGAGACTGCAAACACATTTCTAGCTTACACCCATAATTAACTCGGCTCTCCCCTTGGCAGTGGCAGAAGACAACCTAGTTTGGTGTGGGGGCAGTGTCACGTTCCTGGTGTGCTGTCCTGCTGACGGAGCTGCCGCGTTGGCTGCACGTCCTAAGGTGCTTTGTTAGAGTGGCAAGGAGCAGCCGGTGTGGGTTATAAATAGGCAGAGCGGCTGGGAACTCATCTCTCATTTCTTTAGCTGCAGGAAAGGTGTGCACGTAATGGCACTGAGAGAGTAGATGTATGGGCTGGAGTGGAGCAGCCTGACTTCTTATTCTCTAGAATTCCCTTTGTGGGGGAGAGACCGTGTATCAGCATCACGCTGCGCCGGGGCTCCTGCTGTCCCAGGCAGAGCCAGGGTGTGTGGGGCACAGAGGACAAGGCTAGGAGGGAGTCGGCAGTGAAAGGGCTGTGCCTGCTCTTCTGACTCATCCATGGCTCTGGAGGGAGTCGGGGAACTTGCAAGCCTGCAGAAAAGTAGAAGTGCCCTGCGTCTTCAGTAGAGTAGTTGCATAGGATTAAGTGACCGCGTGGCAACTTTGTGACTGTGTGTTGTGAGGGAAGGATGTTACGGTGGGGCACAAAGCAATCATGCCATGGATGGCAGTATCTCCTTAGGGCTCCCCACAAAGAACACAGTGGTCCCAGCACCCAGGCCAACAAGATGCTGGGAGCGAAGTGTTGGTGCATTGTGAGGTTGCAAGGCCTGGCAGGGGTTATGGCCTGTTCATGAGAGCTCACATTTTCAAGGGGAGGTCAGTCCCTAGCTTGTTCTCTGTCTCCTCTGAGTGCAGCTGGCAGGTTGATGTGGGTCTTACTGCTGGTGTGAGTTATGAGGGGGATGAGGTTCCAGTAGGACCCTGCACCCACTGGGCTCACTTCTGGAACGGAGACTTGTCCCCTTTGCAGAGCATGATGTCCATAAGTGTCCTGAGGGACCTGCAGACCCAGTCAGTCTCTGAGCATTGCACTGTGAGTGGCCAGTGCTCATTTCAGTCCCTCTTTAAGAACCCAAGTGCCCTCCTGGGGGCTACAGTAGGTCCCGGCTGAAGGTCAGGAGGTGGTCACACAAGGGGGAGAGCTACTGACAGGAAATGGAGAATCCCCCGAGCTCCCTGGTGTGGCACAGAGAGTAGGAAGGGAGGCTGGGGGAGCTCCCCCAGGCTGTGTGACTTGTCCGCTTCATGGTGGCAAAAGGTGTCATAAATCTGCTCATATGTCTCTGCTTCCCCTGCACAGACTAATGTGCTGTTTGAACCCTGAGCACTGTCAGAAATCTGAGCTCCCCCCTCCCCACATACCTGTTCTGAGTCCTGACCCCCAAGATGGCCCTTGGCATGAGTAATGTAAGCTATAGCTGGGACTGAAAATGCCTTGTACCCCCATGAAGGAGACTGGACAGGGCCATCCCTAGAGGACTCCTTTCCCTGTCAGACACTGGGCCCAGGGGTTGTGCAGTGCCCCTTCCTTCTCTGGGCAAGGCTCTTCCCCATGGTGCTTGGCAGATGGTCGCAACTGAAGTGGGAAAGGAGGGGCTGGAAGGACGGACTGTGGCTCTGGGTCTTTCCTGGGGATCAGATCTGTCATTTCCCAGCACCCTTCCAGTGCTGGCATATTCAGAGGGCCTTGATGCTTCATGCAGGGCTGTGTGAGATTTGTCTCAGGTGGGAGCCACCTTCCCCAGCCGCACCCTTTCTGCACCCCTGAACACGGGTGTTGGTGGGAGCATTGACCTGTGTGGTATTGGCCTCAGAGCCAAGTTTCTGAAGAAAGCATCCTTTTTGGTCCCAAGTTTTCCAGGCTTTGTGATAGACTGAGCTCGTGTCTCAGCTCAGCCGTGCAACCACTGACCGGAAGGGCACGCAGGTTCAAAACAGCCCCGTGGAGGCAGGTAGGACAAGCGACAGGCTGCTCCCGGGTGACTGCCTGTCAGGCCTGCAGACGCGTTGTCCTGTTAGCAGGGCTTCTTATGGCTGCGATGAAGTGTTTCTGCAGCATCCTCAGTTCCCTCAATGCCTCGCTTGGCATCACCAGTGCTTGCTCCTTGCTCTGAGGAGTCTACAGTGCAGGAGAGGAGGAGCCTGTGCATGGGCAGGAAGGGCAGGGGAGCGGGGTTACTCATGAAGAGAAGGGGCCAGTGCATCACTGGGGTTAGTCAGGAGTGTGGTTGGAAGCAGGGAAGAGGGCAGGAATTGCAAGAGGGCAGTGGATACCTTGACACTTCCCCGGATGGGGCATGGGGCAGTTTCCCAGCAAAGCCTGTGGCTCAGCCCCATGTGCACAGAACTGGAGCAGATTAGAAGTAGTCACCAGCAAAACTCCAGTCCTCTTCAAGGAGCATCTGGTGCCCTAGAGCCAGCGAGTCTTGAAGCTGGACAGGAGAGTCCAAGGGACAGCAAATCTCGGCCTGGGCATTCGCTGGGCTGAGAGAGCTTGGAGCGCGTTGGCTGGACTCAGGCCTTAGCTTTGCTGCCCTGGTGACCCCCAATGTGGGTAGCTGCATTTCCCCTGTGGCCAAGCACAGCAGTGTGGGCTGATCTCTCTGCCTCTTGTCTGCACGGCCGTCACTGGAGCGTTTGTGTTTTCAGCACCCCCACTGCCCACTGCTTGTGTAGTATTGCTATGAAGTATGGCTGTTCCACCCCAGAGCCAGCTGCCTTTGGATAGCATGGGGGGAGACTATGTACTGAGCTCTGTGGCATGTTAGTGGCTGTGCAAGTCACTGTGGGATTCAGCTGATTCTCCAGGTCTCAGACGCAGGAGACAGCCTGTGCCCTTGTGTTCACTGCCGGGGGCAGAATCCTGCTGCAGGGAGGACAGGGCTCAGGGTCCTGGCAGCCGGGACTGTGCTCTCTCCCTGATATCCCTTGAAGGGAGTCCTGCTTAAACCATGCCTTCACCCTCAGGTGGCTCCGGGGACCTGAGGTCTGGGGGAAGTATTCTGCATTGCCATGCTGGAGCAGGATGGGGCTGTGGGAGTGTGATATGAGGGGAAGCTCTGGGCCAGCTACTGGCAGCCTGTGTATGGGGGAGGGGGCAGCTGGCTGGGCCTGCACATTGTGTGCCCGTGACTGTGCTCCCAGACTGCAGGTTCTGGGGGGAGGAGACAGATAGGATGGCGGGGGTGGCAGACCGGGACTTGTTCTTTAGAAAGAGTGAGATAAAAGGCAATAAAACA